GAGGGGATATCAAGGGCCTCCGGGATCCACTTTTACAGAAATAAGCAGGCGTCGTCGCCTTCCGCTTTTTCCGGCATATTTACCAGCCTTAGGTTAGAACTTCTGGACCTTGCTTCCAAGTCGATAACTTTGTCCTCCATGACTTTGTTTTTACTCTCGAGACTCTGTACCTTAGCCTGTAGGTGGATGATGGTGTCCTCTGTGCCAGAAATGCGCAACTCTGCATTGTTAACACGTTCCATACATTCTCCAACCTCCTTCCTCATTCCAGCAATTGCAGCCAATACTCCATCCTGTCTGATGGAGAAGTCTGTTTTTAGGTCTTTGATAGCCTCGAGAATTGGCAAGTTTCTAGTTACTTCATCTTCGGCGTTCCCAACATTCCCATCTGCCATTGTGTTAGCATTAGCTGTAGGTTCTTCACCCTGTATGGACGGGCCAAAATCTATTTTAGATTGAGCTTTTCCTTTTCCGCGACCTCTAACGGTTTTTTTGGGGGGCATCAGGGTCTTCTTTAGCCACTATATTGTTCACTTTGTCGTAGTTTGTTGGTTTTATATCAGGATTAGTAAGATTGTGCGGAGGAGAAAGAAACGCGTCTGTCTAGCGCGCCGCCATCTTGGAATCCGACTGTCGTTTGCAAATCTTTTAAATGCATTTGTGGATGTTGTTTTACATTTACAAATCACATATTTACACACAAATTATTTTTATGTTCACACAAATAATTATGAGACATATCTATGCCCATACTATCAGGGCTGTTAGGGAAAACATCAGGCAATATGTATTGTGAGATTATTAAGTTTCTAAGAGAAATTGATACATTTAAAATAATCTAGAGTTTTGGTTCTTTTATTTAATTTATTTTGTTTATTGTTTTCTGCATAGTCTCTTGTCCACACTCCAGTCCAGTTGGTGGTGGTAATGCACCTACAAGTTGGTTTGCCAACCGCCAATAAACACTAAAGAAGAAGAAGAAGTCTTGTGCCAGTTCGTCTTGTTTCAGTGTGCTTCACATGTCTAGAGACCCAGCGCGTTTCCAAAGAGAAGAGCTTTATTTTTGTCCTCGCAAGAGTGATCATTTGTTTGAACTTTGTTTATTTTTCTCATTAAAAAGTGAGTCATTGCATTTGAGTCCAGTATTTTTGTACCACGTTCTTAACAGGGGAAGCAACGCTGATCAGATTGAGAGGTAATGGAATGAGTTTACAAGCTTCCAAAAATGAATGTATTGTCCTAATATGGCAAAAACAATTAGATATTGTGAGAGCCAATACTTTGTTTGTTTAAAATCAACCAAAACTCCAAAATGTGACACAAATCCATGTTTATTTCTGCATGTGCTGTCACGACATTTGCACAAAGCTAAGTCAAGTATGAGTTTGTTGAAGATTTTTCCATGTGCGTTGGTGTTTACAATTCAATGACATTTAAGGAACGTTAAAAATTAGATATTCTGTAAATTGTTACTTAGGAGCGCTTTCTGAGCTATTGGAAATAAAAAAATGGTAACACTATTTAAAAATGTCCAGTTACTGAATTCAAGTGAGTGACTATCGTTAAGTAAATTCTTAAATTACAATTTTCAAGGGAGTTAATGAACCTTAAAGCTCCAAATGTCTGTTGTTTTAAACCCAATTATATACCCACCTCGTAATGATGTGTACCTGTGTACAAACAGTCGCTGAAGGTTTTATACTGAAATAATTTGGTAATTTGTTCAATGTTATTCAATATAATTACAGCTTTATTCATAACATAATTATAGAGCTTTTACAATTTATGCAGTAAATCGAAGTTGTCGACAAAAACAAACCTGCTAAATCCTACCTAACGCTTTCTAAAACAGTCATTATTTTCTTGTCCGATACTTGGCCCCCCGAAAGTGTAGCTTGCAGTGTTCTCGAGAACTGCTCATCAAACTTCTTTCAGACATGACACAGCACTTCCTTGTTTCCTCAGCAATACACCCATCAATTGTGAAGTCAATCTGGATGATTGGCATACAAACATGGACAGAGGAGCGGAGATTTCTTCCTTTATAGTAAGATATTGTTGCTTCAGCGCCACCCATTGGCAAACTGGCATCAGATGTCTTGATAACTCAGATTTCATACCCACAAATGTCCACCAAAGTGTAGTTACTATTGCTAACCATAACCCTGGGTTTCACAACATTCAATGGAGTTAGCAATTATTACTACAACTCACAAAACACGTATTTCCGATAACTCGGGGAAACACAACATAAAAACAAATATTTTTATTTTAAGGTTTTCTGAACTTTAGACATGACACAAGGTAATGTTGGAGAAAAACAAGAATACTGATCATAAAAGTAGAACAAGTATGACATTTAACTTTGAGTCTTTTAAGGCCTAGTCAAATCCTTGCAGAAAAAGTTAACAACAAAATTAGACCTTGACCTTTTTATGCAAGCAAACATTAGATTTGATCAGAACTTTGTGATGCTGTATCAACAAATAATTAACAGAACAAACACCGTATTCCACTGGGGTAGGAGCTTCAGTGTTTCACTTGAGAATGATGCAGTTGAATATCAGATCAGGCTTTCATGTGTATTAGCAGTTTCCTCTTTTTCCATGTCGGATTTGAAAACCCTGTTCTTGCTTCCTTTATTTCACTTCAACCCAAGTCTGTTCTCTGTCATGAAGCCGGTGGGAGACAGTGTCAACAATCTAATAGTGAATTTAATCAATTTGCTAGCAGTGCTATTAGTAATGCTAAGCACACCATAGGCAGCCAAGCAAACACGGTATCAAACAAGGGAAATCATGCAAGGGAAGAGAGGAAGAACTCTCAGAGATAATTCTGCATTAGACCTCTATGGTGGACCCAGCTTTGGTTTCAATAGCTCCCTGATTCTTAATAATCCACATCTGTTTGTAAGATCACCTTCATTACCAACAGTGTTGCTTTAGCAAGAATCCAGACTTAAAGACTTAAAACACTTTGGTCCCAACTGAAATATCTAAACAGCTATTGAAAAGTGGACTAGAATATTTTCCTTCACTGTACATCCACCACCATTGGTAACTGGATAGTGAGATTTGACCTAAATGTGGGGGGTTATACAGTACAAAGTAACTAAGTTGCATTCATATATATTACTTTCAGCAGTAACTAAGTAAGATAACTTGTAACTAATGCATTCTCTGGTTGGTCCTCAAGGAAACAAAATGTTAAATACCGTATTTCTTTTAAATAAAAGAAAGTAGGGAGACATCATATTACATTTTAATAGTACAAGACCCCCATTTTTTTAGGGGTTTTCCTGTAGTGTGTTATATAATAAGCGCTCTAATAAAAAATGTAATGCATTATTATTATTATTATTATTATATAGGTTTGTGTGCATGTAAATGGTCAGCAAAGGTAAACAAAAAAAAAGCGGTATGAGAAAAATAAAGACCTTAGCATGGAAACATGTCACAGTATAGGCACACAATACAAATATAAACTTAAAAATGAGCATAATATTTCCTCTTTAATAAGAGGGAAATTATGCTTTGGGTAAAAGTACCATGTATGCATCCCATCATCCCATTTAGCTTAATGTTATTAATGCTATTTCAGCCCATACTACATATGGGCTGAAATATCTTACATCATGACATATATCATAATTTTATATTCCACAAATAAGATATACATATGATAATAACAGATCTGACATCTGATGCTTAGGTTTAAGTACAATTCTAGAGAACTTGTGTAGAGTTTGTCAGAAACCCCTGCTGTTCCAATTCCTCCAGAGCCTCTAAAGAACATCGTCCAACAGTTTTACAATATGAGTAGTTGTTCCCAAGAGGAGTGAACTGATATTTAAGGGTTAAACTGGATGAGTTACCCTTTCATCACACTTTTCATGCAGTAAGCTGTATTACTTATTTAACAGTAGTTAATTAGTCAAAAGAGCTGTGTGCACACCAGCTTTCACATTATCTACATATGCTCATGTTTAAAGTTGTGAATAATGTTAAGATGGTTAGCATATGTTCCTGTTTCATCTTACACCCCCCACGGTGTCGGTGTGTGTGTGTGTGTGTGTGTGTGTGTGTGTGTGTGTGTGAGGGGCTTTCCTATGAATGTAATCTTTTCATCCAATTCTGTCTGTCCACGGCAAAGCTTAGAAAGAGTTATTGCAGACGACATTTTCCCCTCCGTGACGGAGCTTCTCCCTGGTGTCCCATTGCTGCTATCAACTACTTTGATGTATTACTGTAAGGTAGGGTTAGGTAAGGTACGTTAAGGTAGAAAGCATAAACAAATTTAAAAAAAAAGATAAAATAAATTTAAAGGAATTCAAATTGTAGTCTCCAAAGATGTTCACAAAACAACAGGAGTTGTTTATGAGAGATACCTACAACTTGCTAAAAGTGCTTTGCTAAAAAAAAAAGCTTTAAATAGCTTAATACTTAATATAAATCACTCAGTGTTATATTTCCTCCATATCTGCCCATTAATACCCGGTTTCCTCAGAGGTACCTCAAAGCAGATGTGTGTATTTTATTTGACAACAATGACAGATGACATACATATAATCAGCACAGCTTACAGATGTATCATCCCGTTGCGTAGGGGGTTGGTACTTAATGAGTTTATCATTATCGCCTAATAAGAAAGCCGATTAGTGTTATTCACGTAATTCGCAACTTAATTCTAGATTAATGGCAGTATCTATGGAGACTGGGTATGATTGCAGGGAGTTCAGGGGGCTGGAGACCCATGGGGAAGTGAGCACAGGTTAATCAGACACTATTGTTCTCTAAAGGCCCTGACACACCAGGCCGATATCGGCTGTTCTCGTAAATCGGGAGACGAAGCGTGTCCTGTCGCCCAAACTCAATTTGGTGTGTCCCGAACCGTCGACCGTGACACGCCTTATTTGGCAGTCGGACCAAACAATCACTCTGATTGGCTGTTCAGCTAGCGAATCAGTGCATGAGAAGCGAAACGGAAGTGAGGGACGTAAACAAACGATTTAAGAAGGCACACACAGACTGATATTCATTTTCATCTCATCATGGCGATCTGGAATGACGCAAACGAAGACCTGCTGATCACCTTGATCCAGGAGAGGCCAGCTCTGTACGTCATCACGGAGAAAAGGTACTCTAACCGAGTAGTGAAAACCGGACTCTGGCGAGAGATTGAAACGCAACTTGGTTTCTCGGGTAAGATTATCTTTTTCATCAATTGAGCTCTTTAGCAGATACTGTTGGCTTTTTATTGTTTGCCAGCGTACAGTGACGTTAACGTGAAATGTAATTTATTATTTCAACCTTGTATTTTGTTGTTATCTTGTTGCTAGCTGTTGCTAGCTGTGCAGTTTGGCACTGCATATAGATATGAATTGGACATGCTAACTAGCCACAATGCTTACATCGTTTATTTGTGTGCTTCAGAGAAAGAGCTGAGGAAGAAGTGGGATTCTCTGCGAACCCAGTACACCCGGTAAAGGAGACTTGCCCCTTCGGGTAGCTGTGGAGCACAAACGACTGGCAGACAGCAGTGGATCCTGACCAGGTTGCAGTTTTTAGAGCCCTACACCAGAAGGAAGGAGAGTACTTCAAACCTCACCGTCACGGTAACTATTTTATTTGTTGAGTACAAATAAGTGTTTCTTGCTTCTTTCATTTACAAAAACATTATTGTCATTCATTTGGTGGTTACAGTGTTAAATATAACAATAACAGAATAATATATGTATTATAATTATTGATGTGCTCATCACCTTAATGTTGCAGCTGGTAAAGGAGGAGCTAATTGAAATTACATGATATACTGCTGGCTAGCTTATGAAATTCACCATGGGATCAATAATGCTTTTATCTTAACCTATAATAATACATGATAAAATATGTCTTGATTATATTTTGTAGTGTTCTGAATCTTCTAGAAGTATGTCTTTAGCATCTGAATAGAGCATCACAATGTGTCTACAATGTACCTCTCACACATGACCACACCCAAACTAATGGCACACACATTTTAGGGTATTGTTTTGTTTTGAATGCTTAGTAAACAGTTTTAAGAAGCCATGGTATTAAATCCAACTAACTGTGAATTTATTTAAAAAAATTTAAGGAACGTCCGGTGGCTGCAGAATCCATCCCCGGGGGCACCAGAAGTGAAACCTCGATCAGCACCACAGAGGAGTCCTTCCCGTTTGATGCTGAGCCCTGCACTCCCCTGGCAGAATCCACCATCTGCACCACACCGGCACCGCGGCTCGGAGAGAAGCCAAGCACTCGAAGGCCTCCGGCGAAGCGCAGGATGATGCAGGATTCGCAGAAGGAGTCCGCCGTTGAGGCGTCGTCAAAAGCATTGCTGGAGGAGATAAAAATAAGACTGGCACAGTTGGCCCCAGTTGATGATGAAATCGCGGTCCAAGCCAAACTGTTTGAGCACAGACTGCGGCTGTTGCCACCTCATCAGATGCGAGGCTTCCTGAATTTGGTTCAAAATGGCTTCTATGATTGCTTGCTAGAGCAGTGGTCTCCAAACTAAGGCCCGCGGGCCGGGTACGGCCCGCCTCCACATTTGGCCCGGCCCCCTGAACAATAGCAGAGAGGCATTATGATTTATTTTTTTTTAAATTAAAATTTAATTAAAAAAATAAATAATAATAATTCAGTCTGGCCACGCGAATCCTAGACTAGCCCCTGTCAAAATGTTGTGACCTGCTCTATCTAAATCAGTCGCATTGACCCGAAGACACCTTTTGAGTTGAATACACTGTTGGAAAGAGGATATTCCTAGCTTTCTAATGATATCAGGATTGTTTTTGTACTTCAAATATTAAGCGAAATATGTCACATTATATAATGACTGTCACCGAGTCATCATTTTGAGAAAAAGGCCTTTAAAGTTGTCTCTTCTCTGGAATCCATCGATCTGATTGATTATTAGCGGAGCAAATGATCAAAATACTACAGAGGGAAGATATTTTTGTTTGGAGGGGAAGCTCGCGAGTGTGTGTGTATACGTGTGTGTGAGTGTGTGTGCTTGTGTAATTTTGCGTTTGTGTGTATTGTGTTTGTTTCCCGGGGAAAACAATCACGAGAAACACCGGCTGTTGTTATGCCTGCTGTGACGTCAAGTTACTCCGTTCTCCGCTTGTAATTATGCCGAAGCTTCAAAGTTGTATTTATCATCTGAATTTGCCGAAACAAGTTTAATATTCTGAAAGCCAAGACTTTGTTTAATTGAAATCAGATCAAAACAAACTGTAACGGACCCTGCAGTGTTATCTATGATTACTATACTCTTACATTCATAATTTCAGCGGAGTGAGGGGGGGGCGGCGCTGCGGAAGAGCAGATTGCGAGTGAGAAATAAATAAATTGGAAATAAAAGTTTCATATTCTGAAAGCCAAGACTTTGTTTGTTTAAAATCAAACAAAACACCCGAACCCCGAAAAAATAGTTTTTTTTTTACGTAAATCCACATTTATTTTGAGAGATTCTGCTCTGACAACTAAGCTAAACTTTTACCTGTTAAGATTGTGCACGGCACAACAGAAAGTTACAGTAATTTTCAATGGACTTTTTTTCTGTGAAGAACCCAGAGAGGGTTATTTGGTTATTATTTATTTCATAAATAGTGTTATTTATTTCATTAATAGTTATTATTTATTTCCTGACTTTTTTTCTGTGAAGATCCCGGAAAGGGTTATTAATATTTGGTTATGTGTGGCTTTCTAGAAAACAATAAATGTTTACGTTTAGACACCCATGCGATCGTCACACTTTTTCTGTTACAAACTGACCCGGCCCCCATCAGAGAAGGGAAAAGTTATGTGGCCCTCACAGGAAAAAGTTTGGGGACCCCTAGCTTAGAGGAAAGTCATTCGAGTCATTTCACTTGTCTCTAGACATTTCACTTGCCCTGTATTTTTGTACATTCGTTCACTCATTTTTAAAGATGTGGCTAATTTTTTTTTTCAGAGAGTTGTGGCAAATGTTATATTGCATAGTATTTTTATTGTATTTGTATTGAATGTTCACTTTTTGTATTGTTTATTTGGATAATAAACCACTTTTTACCGATACTTCAAATTGCAAAACTTTATTTCGTACTACAGCCATTACAGTACATAACATAGAATGATTTATTTCTGCTTCAGAGAGCTGAAGTGGAGGAGCTGATTTAAATTACATGAAATTCACCATGGGATCAATAACATTTTTATCTTAACCTACATGACAAAATATGTCTTGATTATATTTTATCAAATAAAGATAGCATTACTGGAGCAGTAATGTAAAGTTGCAGGATTATTCTCAAGTACCTCAGCATTGTACTTAAGTACAGTGTCTAAGTAAATGGGATACCGCTGTTCATTGTAAATGGGTAAGCCGTTTTTCTGCCCCTCTATTCACATGTAGCCTTTCATACGTGATGGTTTCTTCATTCTCGAACTGTTGTGGAACAGAACTATACAGTTGCAGGATTAGTCTAAAGTACCTCAATATAATTATAGTATGTCTGCACTTTGTGCTCATTTCATCATTCATTCATGTATTTTATATTCTACTAAAACTGAATCAAACCATAAACAAGGTGGCCGGTTGGGATTACTATATATATATATATATATATATATATAAAATATATCTGCATTATTTGATCCCACTTTATGCTTTGCTCTTGCTGCTTATTTTACACGGATTTTATATCTTATGTTTCTGCCCCTCTGTTCATTCTCCCATTATCCTCCTCAATCTGCCTAGAAGTATTTTAATGTTGTCGCTGTTACTATAAACAATACTAATGCTAGGGCTGCAACTGACAGTTATGTAGGCACATTGTTATTGTTTCTTATCACTGTGTGATTAAAAGAATAAACACAAATAGCAATGCAAAACTTTATTTCGTACCTTAAAAAAATCCACATGACATTAATTAGCCAAACCACCATGAAAGAAAACTATGGTGCTATATCTTATCCCACTGAAAAGACACTGCACCGATACCGTTAAAATATTGGCATAGTTCATCCCTGTGATGCTTGGCTCGAGCTGGATTATTGGTGGTGGGTGGCAGGGTGGCTTGCCGTAGGTCATGGTCTTGTCTCCAGCTCCCTGGGACAGTGCCATGATCGGGTCCTTCCTGGTCAACAACTCCCGCCATGTATACGCTACAGTTCTCTGTGCGCAGGAAGTTGTGCAGAGCACAGCAAGCCAAAACAATGGCCTCCACTTTGGCAGTGTCTTGAATGTTTATGGTGGTTAGGAAGACCCGAAAACGGTTGGCTAGGATGCCAAAGGCATTTTCTACCACCCTCCGAGCCCGTGACAGCCTGTAGTTGAAGATGCGTTGCTCTACAGCTAGCCTGCGGTTCGGATAGGGCTTCATGAGGTACTCTTTCAGGGGAAATGCCTCATCTGCCACAATGTGGTAACAAACCGCCTGGTCAGAAGCAGGAAGTGGTGCAGGTGCAGGGATGTTGAATGTCCTATTCTCCAAGGCATCCTGCAGTGAGCATCCACCAAACACACCACCATCTGAAATCCTCCCATTACAACCTACATCTACATACAAGAACTTGTAGTTGCTGTCGACCAGTGCCTTTAGCACTATTGAAAATGTATGTTTGTAGTTGAAGTAGGTTGATCCAGTTCCTGGAGGCGGGCGGATGTTGATGTGTTTCCCATCCAGGGCACCTAGGCAGTTTGGGAAGTCCCACTGAGCCTGGAATCCATCAGCTACTTGCTGCCACTCTTCCACTGTGTCTGGGCACTGAAAAACAAAACATATATTTTTTAAGACCCATGTTTCATATGGCAAACCAAACATTTGCTGTTCAAATGCCTACAGACCTCACTGTATTACATAGAGTTTGCACAGTAAAACCAGTAAGTATCCACACATACCTTCAGGTATTTCTCTTTTAAAACCTCGTAAATGGCTGTACAGGTCTCAGGAACGAATTGCCGGATGGTTGACACTCCCACTCGGAACTGGTAGGAAAGGCTCCTGAAGCTTTCCCCTGGAAATATTAACATTACATTACATTACATGTTACTTGTTAGACGCTTTTATCCAAAGCGACTTACATACTCAATACTGTGGGCAATCCCCACAGGAGCAATTTGGGGTGAAGTGTCTTGCCCAGGGACACAACGACATGCTGACAGCAGTGGGGTTTGAACCTGTGCTCCCCTGATCCCAACACCAAGGCTCTATCCACTGCGCCACACGCCTCCCCTAACAAACACACGCCTAACAAACACATAACTGAGTTCTCTACACAAGCAGCTGAACAAAACACTCATTAGCTACAAAACAACAGGTTATAGTTTGATTACTTTTGCTACTAAGAAGATTCAGACAAATGATACAAAATATAAAAATGAAATATTTTAACATGCATTATTATAGGAAGAAGATAACGCTTTATTGATCCCTTGGTAAATTCTCAAGCAACCAAGCAGTACTTTGGTTTTGTACTTACACTAGTACATCTACATTACACTGCGGTATTACTACTTACTAAAGCAAAATATACAATAATATACAAAGTCCTGCAATTTTAAATATAGCAACATCTTTAGCTTGCATACCTGTTGCCAAAAATCGCAGCGTAACCATCAGACGTGTCCCCACGGAGATGCAATCCGGGTAGTTGGTGTTTTCCCTCTGGGTGATTGGAGTGATGAGTTCCTCCAACGTGTGGAACTGCACAGGAAAAAGCCGAGCGAAATTTCTGAAATCTGGCACTTCATTGAATTCCAGCTCTCGACACAGGTTCGGGAAAGCACCGTGAGCTTCTCGCTGTAGTATCCATGACTTCACCAATTTAGTGTGGTTTCTCCTAATTCTTCGCTTCCGCTTCTTGAGAGACTGTTGCTTGAGAATGTCTTCCACAAGTAACACTGCAATGGCTGATAGCGCCAGTGCCGCACGAAACATGTTTTAGATGGACGAGAGGGAAAATGGAACGCACACGCTATTTGTTGTTGTTTATATCACGGTCTGTTCTTCTTCTCTGTCTTCTGGTTGTTGCCTCTTTTGAATGACGAATACACACTACCGCCGCCTGCTGGTAAGGAGAGTTATTGCCACTCACGCACTGAAGTCTTTGCGGTGTGTTCCCGTGCGACACATGGCCAAGATGCAGGAGAACACGGCCAGGCAACAGCCGACGTCAGCGTCGGCGAGTCCTCTGGTGACTGCTTGGTGTGTCAGGGCCTTTACACACACTTACTCACATTCACATAGAGAGTGTAATCAGTCCAGCTCTGACGCAACAGCACCACTCCACTGATTTTCTTCTCAAGTTTCTTAGTTTAACTCTCCACTTTTCCTTCTTCTTTAAAGCATTTGGTCATACCATGACTCTTTGTTATCCCTTTATCTTATAGCTAATGAGATAATTATATATAATGAGTTTTTAGAGAGGGCATGTTATACTCATTTTCAGGTTCATATTTGTATTTTGGGACTCTACTGTGACATGTCTCCATGCTCTAATGTTCAAAAAGCTCTTTATTTTTCTCATACTGCCAGCACCTCTTTTCACCCTCTGTCTGAAACCAGAGCCTAGTCTGCTCTCATTGGTAAACTGTCCGACTCTGTTGTGATTGGTTAACCGCTTAAGCTGCATTCACACAATAGTTAATTTGCTTTTTGTTCACTACCGGGTTTGGCACAGAGCCTTGCGGTGAAAATAGCTTTTTAGTTTTTGTTTCTGTGGTTAAGTCCCCTGCTAGCTTGTGCCGCTACATCCAGCTGTCATCTGTTTGTTGGCGCGTCGAAAGGTCAGTGGTTAACAAGGTAAAAGTGCAATCACTAGACCCCCTGCAGTTCGCATATCAGCCTCGTATTGGAGTGGAGGACGCCATCATCTTCCTGCTGCACAGAGTACACACACACCTTGAGAAGGCAGGCAGCACTGTGCGAGTCATGTTCTTTGACTTTTCCAGTGCTTTCAATTAGGGATGCTCCGATCGATCGGTCACCGATCGATATCGGCCGATACTCACTCTCTACCGATCGATCGGTGCTCTCTAAACATGCCGATCGCGAGAGCCGATCGCATGACGTAAAATACATGACACTTTTCTCTGTGTGCGGCAAAACAAGCTCGCCAAAATGGCTTCACCGGTCTGGCATTATTTTAAGGTGTCCGAAAAAGACAGTAAAATAGCGGTATGCAACGTGTGTGAAGCAGAAATCCTGCAGCTCCGCCCGCCGGACCGGTAAGCGCAGCGAAACACACACACAGGGAGAACCAGACCGCAGTTAATTTCCTCATATTCCAAACGAGAAATTACGGTAGCAAATCACCCGGTTCTTTACGACCAGAACTATTAACGGGATACAAACCGGAGGAACCAGGCATGGAGGGAGGTGGCAGAGACAGTGGGTGAAACTGGTAAGTTTTCGCCTGTTTGGGGAGTTTACATATATATATATTGCTCGCATAAAATCTCCGTTTTTTTTTGCTTTGTATGTCGGGGGCGGGAGATTCATGTGATTGGTTGTTGGTCGCGTTGCTCGCAAAAAATCCCCAAGCTTTCAGACACGCCCAGCTCCAAGATTTTCAAGATTTTTGAAAAGCTGCTGTGTGGACGTACCGTAAGAGTTAGACCAGGCATCCTCAAACTACGGACTCCGGTCCGGGTCCGGACCGAACCACCACTGTCTCCGGACTCTGAGCAAATTATACTTTTCATATGTATTATCTCTCTGTATTATATGTGAGACATCGCCACAACGCATTCGCAACGAGTCAAAATGCTCCGCTATGTCCACTGCAAACAGCGCTCTGCATGTCTGACTGTTCCACCTGTGTGTGTCAACGCTTTGGTCCAATCACATTCAGCATCCAGTCAGCGTTTTTTCCCCCCAAACAATCTGCGAATCAGAGGCACAGTAGGGCGGGTCTTCGCGGAATGCGAGTGGGAAAAATGTGTGTGTCTCTTTCAACCTGTCTGAGTCAGAGCAAGAATTTAAAAAAAAAAAATTCAGAGCGAGAGCTAACAGCTCATCTAGTTCCATCTGTACTGTAGCTAGTAGCCTAGTTTCACCTACCGGGGTGGCAACTGACACCCTAAAAATAGGCCTTGCCACCCCAGCTGCCACCCCAGTTGGCAGCTTTGTTTTGAAAGAAAAGTTGTGGATCATCAGACATTTATGAGAGAAAGTCTCTAATGTCCGAGTGCAAGTGAATGCAGCACAAGATGCACGTCATGTAACCCCTCCCCCGGTCCTGGCGCGAGCGTGGACATACGATTGGCGGCGATTTCATTTTGAACTGGACGGCGCAAAACGAGAAGCATTCGGACCCAAGCACTGAAGGAATGAGGTATTTGCGGTCTACAATGACAGAGAAGAGACTGTCAGTTTGGCTGTACTCAGCATTGAATCAAAACGCACTAAAGCTGTTGATCTTAATACGTTTGTGAGGCGTTTTGCTGAACAAGATGGTAATCGCCGCATTCAGCTGTAATAGACATGTCAACTTGATGCTCTGCTCACGGATGAGCATACACAACTATTAAGATGATGACCTTATGTGTGTAAATATATTGTTTTCTTTGACGGGGTCTGCCCCCAAAAAACAGTTTTAAGTCCTGAGAAAGTCAAATCAGACGGTGTTTAAAACTACACTGCCCAGACAAAAAAAAGTAACCACTTTGATTGAACTAGGCCAGTAGGTAAGGACTTTCCACTGGATAATAACTGAAGTATGAAAGAATGCATGACTGAAGTGATGGAGACCATGTTGAAGGCAAACAAAAAGAGGAAATAACAGGTCAAATCAAGCAAATCCCCCTCTCAGATTCCACAGCAACCAGAAGAACATAAATACTGGCTGGTGATTTGATTCATCAGCTTTGTGATGGAATAAAAAATGCACAGTGCATTTCCTTAGCTGTGGGTGAGTCCACTGACACCACTGACAATGCTCAGTTGCTGGTGTTTGTGAGTTTTTATGATGAGGCAAAGGGGGAGTTTGTTGAAGATGTGTTGGGCCTGACGAACCTCAGTGGACACACAAGGGGGAATACATTTATAAAGCAATAATGGGAATGCTGAATGAAAGAGGGTGCAGCTGCCTTTATTCATAACTGTGCAGCTCTGACACTGCGACTCTGAGGGGTCAAGCACAGACACAATAACAATGAAAACTGCTGCATACAGATTATTTTTGTTTTTGCAACCTCGTGTTAAGAATCTTGTTGCAATTGTTTAAAAGTTTGAATGACCGTAATAAACGGACCTTTGTCTTATTGAAACATTTATTTTGGACCTTTAAGATTTGTATTTGAGTACCCCTGAGTTAGACCTAACACACTTAGCTATTTTATCTACCTCTGGAACAAGCTAAACTAGTTATTATAAATATATTTATTCTTCATTGTCGGGTCACTCATTACTGGATCAGTGAGCTGCATGAGATACTGACAGGCTGTCAGGAGAGGGAGAGAGGGGGGAGAGAGAGAGGGAGAGAGGAAAAGAGAGCCCTTTCGCTAATTTCTCCCGTGTTATTATCCAAAGTGAATGTAAACTTGAATAATGTACATAATTTGAATGTAATAATTAAGTTGATTGTTGTTTGTGGAAGCTCCAGTGAATGAGCCCCATTAACTGAGTTTTAAACATCATTTTAAATGGAAGATTTAAAGTGATGTTTAAATCTTCCATTTAGGCCCCGCCCACTCGATCGGATCGGCGATCGGTATCGGCCGATACTGATTCCGGCGATCGGTGATCGGCCCCGAAATTGGCGATCGGAGCATCCCTACTTTCAATACCATCAGACGTGCCCTGCTCAGCAGTAAGCTACTTGACATACAGGTGGATGCTCCACTTGTTAGCTGGATAACAAACTGCCTCACAGCTCGGCCACAGCATAGTACGTGAGGCTGCAGAACACCACCTCTGACACTATATTGAGCAGCACGGGCGCTCCTCAGGGCACGGTCCTCTCTCCCTTCATGTTCAAAATGTACACATCAGACTTCAGGCACTGCTCACAGTCCTGCCATCTGCAGAAATTCTCAGATGACTCTGCCATTGTGGGCTGTATCATCAGAGATCAGGAAGCTGAGTACAGTAGAGTGGTGGACAGGTTCGTGGAGTGGTGCAGTCAGAACCACCTGCAGCTCAACGTCACTAAAACGAAGGAGCTTGTGGTTGACTTCAGGAAGCAGAGTACCGCCCCAAGCCCAATTACCATCGTGGGCATGGATGTGGACATTGTGGACGGTTACAAATGTCTGGGTGTCCACATAGACAATAAACTGGACTGGAATACAAACTATGATGCCCTTTATAAGAAAGGCCAGAGTCGCCTGTATTTCCTCAGGAGACTCAGGTCCTTTAACGTCTGCAGCACTATGTTGCAGATGTTTTATGACTCGGTGGTCTCCAGTGTCATCTTCTTTGCTTTAGTGTGCTGGGGCAGCGGGGTGAAGACAGCTGATGCCAACAGACTCAACAAGTCATCAGGCTCTGTCCTGGGAGTGGACCAAGAGTCGTTGGCAGTGGTGTCGGAGAGGAGAATGCTGAGGAAACTTCTCAACATTCTGGACAAAGAGTCTCACCCCCTGCATGCCAAACTGGTTTCCTACCGGAGCACGTTCAGCCGTAGACTGAGACCAACGGGGACCATCACAGAACACCACAGGAGGTCTTTCCTCCCAGTGGCCATCAAACTCTATAACTTTTCACCCTTCAGTAAAGGGAACTGAGAACTTTCACACCAACACCATGTGCAATATAATATCATTACCATCATTACAAAACACTCACTGCTATATAACATGCGCAATATTATAAATGTGCTATGATAACGTGCAATTATACGGAAGAGGATTAGGGCCACATAAAAAAAAAATTTGTGAGGATTTGAAAAAAAAAAAGTCAGAATTCTGACTTTAATCTCAGAATTCTGACTTTTTTCTCAGAACTAAAAAACTTTTTTTTTTTTGGGAGAAAAAAAGTCAGAATTCAGACTTTAATCTCAGAATTCTGACTTTTT